AATCTATCATCTATCTATATATAGTATATATATAGCTCTCGTATATGTTTGCTCTTATATCTCTATATCTTATATTGTCTCCTATATCTACTCTATCTATATATATCTATGCTAATGGATATGTGTATATATATATATGTATATATATATGTATATATATATATATATATATATATATATATATATATAAATATATTTATATATATATTTATACATTCATATAAATAGGTCTATGCATTCATATATATATATATATATATATATATAATATATATATATATTATATATATATATATATATATATATACATATATATATGTATATATATATATATATATGTTTATACATTCATATATATATTTACATATATGTATGTAAAGAAATATATATATATATATATATATATATATATATATATATATATATATATGTATATATACATGCATATGATATATACAAAAATATATATGTACACTTATGTATATACATATATCCGTAAATGTATATATAGGCGTACCTGTCTCTAAATATACGTGTCTATATATGCGTATTTGTACATGTACATATATATAAATATATATACATATATATATAAATATATATATATATATATACATATATGTATAAATATATATATATACATATATATATATATATATATATATATATATATATATATATATATATATATGTATGCATGTATGTTTATGTATATATGTACGTATATGAATATGTATGTATATGAATATGTATGTATATGTATGTATACATGTATATATATATATATGGTTATGTGTATATATGTGTACATATATATTTTTTAGTCCTTTTATCCCCAGCTTTTCAATCGCCAATACTAAAGACGTCAAACAGCCTGCAACCTCAACCTCGCAGCCTCGAGCAATGGCACATCGCGTATCTTATCCGTTAACCCACTGCCGCCGGGGAAAATGAATAGAAAATGGGGGAAATGCAGTACTCATTTTTTTTATTTTTGTGAAACATCTCTGTCCATAGATGGCTCTGCTAGTCCTGATTTCACCTTTCCTTGAATTGGCGGGAAAAAAACGTGCATGGCATGTACGTACATGCCATCCCCGGCGGCAATGGGTTAACCTCGCGATCCGTTTTCCAGAGAAACGACTCCCGCGACATCGAGAGGCATCGGCGCTCCTTCCGCCTCTCGCTCGGAGGGCCACCGAGGCCGAGGCCCTGCTCGTCGACAACGTCCGAGGGCGACGTTGTCCGTCGGCCGAGGCGGGGCCGTCCTTCGGCTGCTCTGCCGGAGGGTCGGGGATCCTCACGGCGGCTCTGCGGCCCAAGTGCGCGAGGGGGCCCGCTGGCTGGAGGGGGACCTGGAGGGGGACCTGGAGGAGGACCTGGAGGAAGACCTGGAGGCGGACTTGACGGCGGACCTGGAGGATCTGGAGGACCTGGAGGAAGACCTGGAGGAGGACCTGGAGGAAAACATGGAGGAAGACCTGGAGGAGGACCTGGAGGCGGACCTGGAAGAGGACCTGACGGCGGACCTGGAGGAATACCTGGAGGCGGATCTGGAGGACGACCTGAAAGACCTAGAGGACCTGGAGGCAGACCTGAAAGACCTGGAGGAGGGCCTGGAGGCGAACCCGGAGGTGGACCTGGAGGAGGACCTGGAGGACTTGGCGGCAGACCTGGAGTAGGACATCGATGAGGACCTGAAAGACCTGGAGGAAGACCTGGAGGAGGACTTGACGGCGGTGGTGGTGGTGATGGCGGTGGTGGTGGTGACCCCCCTCTCCCTCTCTCTCTCTCTCCTCTCCCTCTCTCTCTCCCACCTCTCTCTCTCTCTCCCTTCCACCTCTTTCTCTTTCTCCCACCTCTCTCTCTCTCTCCCACCTATCCTTCTCTCTCTCTCTCTTTCTCCCACCTCTCTCTCTCTCTCCCACCTATCCTTCTCTTTCTCTCTCTTTCTCCCACCTCTCTCTCTCCCACCTCTCTCTCTCTCTCTCTTCCACCTCTCTCTCTTTCTCCCACCTCTCCCTCTCTCTCTCTCCCACCTATCCTTCTCTCTCTCCCACCTCTCCTTCTCTCTTCCTCCCACCTCTCCCTCTCTCTCTCTCTTTCTCCCACCTCTCTCTCTCTCTCCCACCTCTCCCTCTCTCTCCCACCTCTCCTTCTCTCTCTCCCACCTCTCCTTCTCTCTTCCTCCCACCTCTCCCTCTCTCTTACTCCCACCATGTGGAGTTTGCACTGTGTTAACCTTATACATTGCACAAAGGCCGCCAACGTCGAGCCGTTGTTACCATGGTTGAAGTGTGGCATCCTGCGGTCGCCGTGTTTTCTAGAGTATGATAACGTCTGCCCTCTTCTGAACCTGATCCAGATAAGAAGGCAGAAAGGCAGACCACAAAAGCGGACTGTACTCTGTAAGACTGCTGATTTGCGACCTGTTCAGTATTGTTCCACCAGCCAGGCCCATCCAGATGGCTGATTGGACAGATGCATCCAAGCTTACTGTCATTCTCTAGGACTGCTCAGGACCTCACTTGCCATCACTAGGAATGCTCGGAACCTTACTTATATTCACTAGGAATGCTCGCAACCGTACTTATATTCACTTGGAATGCTCGGAATCTACCATTCACTAGGAGTGCTCAGCATCTACCTTTCATTAGCAATGCTTGAGATGTGGCTACCATTCAAAATGAATCTTTGTGATCTGACTACCATTTACTAGGAATGCTAGGGATCTATCATTCACTAGGAATACTTGGGTTCTTCCTACCATTCCAAAGGAGTGCTCAAGATCTCAACTAACATTCAAAAATACTCTAGATCTCAATACCGTTCAGAATGCTCAGGATCTCATTGTCCATCAGTAGGAATGCTTGTGGCCTCATTATTGTTCACTAGGAATGCTCAGGATCTAACTACCATTCAAATGAAATGCGTGGGATCTAAAGAGGAATGTTCGGGGTTTACCGTTCACCAGGAGTGCACACGATCTATCTACCACTCACTAATAATGCTCGGGATCTATATGATATCCATTAGGTATGCTCAGGATCTTAATACCATTCACTAGAAATTCTCAGGATCTATTACTAAGAATGCTCGTGGCCTCAATACATACATATATATGAATACTCGGGATCTAACTACCAATCAATAGGAACGCTAGGGATTTAACTGTCATTCAAAAGGAGTGTTCAGGATTTCACTACCAATCACTAGGAGTGCTCGAGATCTAACTACCATTCCCTAGCAATACTCAGGATCTCACCTTTCAAAAAAGGGATAATCAGGAAGTTGGGATCTCAACTATTCACACTGGAATTGTTTAGGATCTAACTACCACTCACCCGGAATGCTAGGAACTCACTGTCATTCACCAGGAATGCTAGGGATCTCAATACCATTCACTAGCAATGCTCAGGATCTCTCTATCCTATGAAAGCAATGCTTAAAGTTTTACTACCATTCACTAGGAATGCTCAAAATCTAACTATCATTCACTAAGAATGCTCAAAATCTAACTACCATTCACTAAGAATGCCCAAAATCTAACTACCATTCACTAAGAATGCTCACAAGCTAACTACCATTCACTAGGAATGCTCAAAATCTAACTATCATTCACTAGGAATGCTTAAAATCTAACTACCATTCACTAAGAATGCTCACAATCTAACTACCATTCACTAGGAATGCTAGGGATCTCGCTAACATACAAAGGGAATGCTCTAGATCTCGATACGATGCAATAGGAATGCTTGTCCTCACTAATTTTCACTAGCAATGGTCGGGATCAAACTACCATTCAAAAGCAATGTTCGGGATCCAACTACCATTCCATACAAATGCTAGAACTGAACTACCATTCACTAGGAGTGCTCAAGATCTACCATTCGAAAGGAATGATCGGGATCTCACTACTATTCACTAGGAATACTTGGGATCTCATTACCGTTTCACCAGGACTGCTAAGATCTCTACCACTCAAAAATAACCATCAGGATCTCGCTACCTTACACTAGCAATGAAAGGATCCAACTACCATTTCATTGGAATGCTTGGGAACTACCATTCGAAAGGAATCCACGGGATCTGCCTACCATTCAAAGGGAATGCTTGGGATCTCACTATCTTTCCATAGAAATGTTCGGGAAGGAACTACCATTTTCCAGGAATGCTTGGGATAGAACTACCAATCACTAGGAATTGGACTGCGTGTGACCTCACTACAGTTCACTTGCAATGCCCAGGATCTAATGCTCATTAGGAATGCTCGGCATCTAATTATCATTCAAAAGGAACGTTTGGAATCTTACTATCGTTCAATAGGAATGTTTGGGATCTAAGTACCATTCACTAGGAGGGTTCTCTCTACCATAAAGAGGAATCAGGATCTCACCACCATTGAAAAGAAATGTTTGGGATCCAACTGCCTTTCAATAAGGAATGGTCTGGATCTACCATTGACTAGGAATGCTCTGGATCTTACAACTATTCACTCGGAATTCTCAGAATCTCTACCATTTATATGGAATGTTTTGGGATCTCTACCATTCACTGGGAATGCTTAGGATCACTAGCAATGCTCGTGATCTCACTACCATTTAATACCATTCACTAAGAATGCTGGGGTACTTCATACCTTTCAAAAAGAACGTTTAGGATAGCACTAATATTCACCAAGAATGCTCTATAATTGAAAATGAATGGTCAGGATTGCTCTACCATTCAGTGCAAATGCTCGAAATCTCACTAATCGTCCCTAGAAATGCTCGTGACTTCACTTACCTTTCACTATGAATGCTCGGAACATCTAGCATTCGCAATGGATGGTCGGAACCAAATAACCACCGCGGATGATCGGGATTTAACAAATATTCACAAGGAATGCTTGGGATGCAACAAATATTCATCACTAGCAATGCTCGGGAGCTAAATACCATTCATTAGAAATAATCGATCTCGCTGCCAATCACTAGGAATGCTCAAGGTCTCTACCATTCAAAAGAAATGGCAGTGATCTCACTACCACTAAAAAGGAATGCTTGAGATCTTGCTACCATTCAAATGTATTGGTCAGGACCTACCTACCGATAACTAGGAATGCTCGGGATTTTACCATTCACATCTTACTACCCATCAGTAGGAAATACACATATATACACACATGTGCACATACTTATATTCTTGTACATTTATTCGCAAACACATATAATCAAATATTTTTATATATACATTTATATGTGTATATGTATACATATACATATGTATATAAATATATATACATATATATATATACCTGCATACTCATTTGTATGTGTATGTATATATACATATATACATAACCATATATATACAAGTTCATATATACACATAAATCTATGTATGTGTATACAGACATATATGCAAATATATAAATATCGATAAATAGATATATACATATAGATATATATATTCAGATACACATATATACATATATACACATACATATATGCACATATTTACATATGTATACACATACATATATTTATACATATAACGTTTATGTATATGTATGTATATATGTATGTATATGTATACATACATATATATATATATATACACACACGTGTATGTGTATATATATTGGTATATTTAAGTATATATACACCTATATATACTTTACACACACACATACATATATATATATATATATGCTCACATCTGCCACCAACGATGCGTTGTTTGACGAACTACTTGACATCATGTACTTGACTGGATTCTTATACTGGGGTGGCTAACAAGTGATCCTTTCCCAGGGGAGTCGTTGGTGAGGTAATCATTGTTAGTGGTTCTCAACCATCATATCGACGATAAACTTACCCACTGTGTGCATGAATGTGCGCAGCACACGCGCACACAAGCACGCGCGCACACAGACACATGAGTATAAGGACACAAAAACACACGTATACTTACATACACACATGTGTACATATATATATATCACATGTATATATATATTACATATGCATGAATGTATATATGCACAGACACACATACATATATGCATGTGTGTGTGTGTGTGTGCATGTGTGTGCGCGCGCGCGTTTGTTTATATATATATTTACACATATAAGTACATATTTATCGCAATGCCGCCGGGGAAAATGTTGGGCTCATTCCTTACATTTTCTGTGATATGTCTCTGCCCATAGATGGCTCTGCTAGTGCTTGGCCACAAAGGAGTCAGTTAGTAGACCTTGTGGCCTTACCTGATTTGAATTGGCGGGGAAAATGTATTTTTACTAGTGCTATGAATAGTTGAAACAAATGTTGAAATAAACCATTCCAGAGACAAAACAACAATAACAAGAATGAAAATAATAAAAGTAGAAAAAAAAAACTTCCGTTAATGCTTAAAAATATATCGAACACCAAAGCAAATGTATATGTACGATATTTTTTTAGATAAATCATATCCCGGAATAGCTAACAACGCCGAAACCCTACCGAACCGCATGCACCTAAACAACGCTGGAATCTTCCTACAAAAAAATAAAATAAAAATAAATCGTCACAAGAACCAAGGCCGGTTCGTTTCTAACGACGCTGAAATTTCTAACAACGCTGTAACTTCTAACAACGCTGAAATCCCTACAACGTTAAAGCAAAACTTTCTTCAAATGAAACAAGTTCTCAAAATAAAGTCGAGCTGGATTGCCAGAAATACTCCCATAAGTGTACCAACAGACGCCCACGCCCTCAGCTCGGCCCTCGGCTGCAGGAGGGCGTCTCCGTCGGTGTGCCTCAAAAAATATTCACAATGTGTAGAAAATATAAACAAGTGACTCACAGTGGGCATGGCGCGTACGTAAAAGTCATGGCCGTCGGCATTGGGTTATACATATATACATACATACATATTTATACATATATTCATATATATATATATATATATATATGTATGTGTATATATATATATGTATATATATATGTATATATATATATATATATATATATATATATAATATATAAATATATTCATATATATATTTATACATTCATATAAATATATCTATACATTCATATATATATATATATATATATATATATATATATATATATATATATATATATATATATATATATATATATATATATATATATATATATATATATATATGTTTATACATTCATATATATATTTACATATATATATGTAAAGAATATATATATATATATATATATATATATATATATATATATATATAT